CGTCCTCTACAACCTGGCAACTCCATCAAGTTCTGTTGACAGAGCAAATTAAGAAGTTGAATTTAAAAACTACTTGATGTTGAGAATCCAGCAGCCTATGTGCCGGTTTTCCCTCGCCTAGGGCGTTTCGAGACTGTCTCTGAACGGTCTGTAGTGATGCCCCCGGCTTTTTATACTTACTGATGTATTTAGAGGGGTCTGACCTCAAATGACCATAAGTTATAGCTTCAATACCCGTGTCCTGTTATGTTCAGGCCTGGAATGTACTGTGACTATCTAGAGTCACTTCCCACACAGAGAAACCAGACTAGAGTGACATCTCCCCAGTCGTGATGACCTCTGGTCACAAGTCCCCATACCTGCATCTAACAAGGCCACCCCACTGATGGGCTTTCTCTGTCCTTTCAGAAAGCAGACCTGGCTGTGGCAGGCCTCACCATTACTGCTGAACGGGAGAAGGTGATTGATTTCTCCAAGCCATTCATGACTCTGGGAATTAGCATTCTTTACCGAGTTCATATGGTAAGAGACTTATTTTATAAGCATTTATGTCATTAAAGTTATTTGCATGCAAACACTGAGTTATATGGTAATAATGAATGACTCACGGAAATATTTAGATTTCAAGACTTAAATGCAAATGAGCTGGGCTATTTTTTCCCCCATCAGCTGCACGGACTTGCAAACAGGAAGAATGGAAAAGTCACACTTGTGGGCTTTCCAGTAAAAATTGCTTCTGCCTCACTGAATAGAGATGACCAAGAGTGATTGCTCATCCCTTGGTGCACAGGGTGTGGGACCACAGAGTGGTCACTCTGCTTCTGCCTGGGGACAGGGTCCCCAGTCCCGATAAGTTATCCCAGCCTTTTCAAGGATCTCACCGACTCCCCGGTGCACCTTGGTTCACGCCAAGCATTGCGTCTGGTGAGGGAATGTGGACTCTTTCCTCTCTGGGTTATCCATACTGGTGAATAGATAACATCGCTTATCTCTGGTCTGTCCCCTCTTGTGTGTCCTCGAAAAAAAAAGAGAAAAGAAAGGCTTCTCTGGTTCGGTTGGCTGGCATGAGTACAGTGAGCATCTACAGGAGTTTGTGAAAGCACACCGATGGGCAGTGGAGGACGGGCCTGCCAGGGTACCCTGGCTGTACCCCATCCACAAAGTGGATAATAGTTACGTTGCCCGTGCAGAGTTGACTTTCCGTAGTTTTCTTACCGAACCAGAAGAAACTTGTTCTCATCCTTTCATCCAAACTGTCTCTAAGCGCACAGCTATTACGTGGATCCCCGCCCCCCCCGCCAATACTCGAGTCATTATAGGTGTCCAAGGTCACGTTAACATGGTGTCTTCCAGTGTGTTTCCTGGCACCGCCAAAGGCTGCCCTACAGGGGAGGGATCAAGAGCTCATCCCACGGGCCAGCTGAAGAAGTGACCCTCTGGCTTCTGACTCCTTCCCAGGCCCCAAATCCCAGCCCTGCAGAAAGGGGATTGCCTGTATTCACAGTCCCAGCCTGGGCGCACGGAGCTGGTGCTGCGATGGCCCATTTCTGCAGGAGGAAAGGTCCCCTCGTCACAGAGCCCATTCAAGCAGCTCGGAAGAGCGCTGTCTTGTGCTGGGCCTCAGCATCCGTCACGATCACGGCCCGTCTTAGGAAAGGAGGCCAATCCTCTGAGAGGGGAGGCAGCATCGAAATCCCAAGCTCTCTAGGCTAAAACAGAAAAATGTGAGCAGTTGGTCACTGGAGACGCTGTCGCTGATGTGTGTGTCTTGTGAATTAAGGGGGATTCTGATTCCCCCTCCTCTTTTTCACGACGATGAGAGCTCCAGTTCATGGAGCACCTCCCATGTGCCAGACACTCTTTCAGGCACCTGTGATGTTCTGGACTCTTGTTATGGGTTGAATTGTATCCCCTCAAAAGACATGTTGAGGTCCTAAGCCCCAGGACCTGTGACTGTGACCTTATTTAGAAACAGGGTCTCTGCAGACACAATCAAGTTAAGATGAGGTCATACTGGATTAGGGTGAGTCCTAATCCAACGAGAGGCGTCTGTATAAAAAGAGAGAAATGGGGACACAGGGGAGAAGACCATGTGAATTTGGAGACAGGTTGGGATGATGTATCTACAAGCCAAGAAACGCCAAGGACCACCTGAAGCTTCAGGTGACAAGGAGGGAGTCCTCCCCTAAAGCCTAAGGGGCGCCTGGGTGGCTCAGTCGCTAGAGCGTCCGACTTCGGCTCAGGTCATGATCTCACAGTTTGTGAGTTCCAGCCCCGCGTCGGGCTCTGGGCTGACAGCTCAGAGCCTGGAGCCTGCTTCAATTCTGTGTCTCCCTCTCTCTCTGCCCCTACCCTGCTTGTGCTCTCTGTCTCTCATAAATGAATAAACGTTTTAAAAAATTTTTTATAAAGCCTTCAGAGGGAGCACGGCCCCACTGACACCTTGATTTTGAACTTCTAGCCTCCAAACTCTGAGACAATGCATTTCTGTTTTTTTTAAGCCACCCAATTTTTGACACTTTGTCATAGCAGGCCCTAGGACACCAGTATACTCGGGTTATTCTTATAACAGTGCAAGAGCAGAGTTCAAACCCAGGAATGGTGTGATTCGAGCTTGCTCTCTCTGTGACACCAGGCTTGCCACCCCCTCATCTGTGTGATCTTTTTTGGATAACGTGTTCTGGAAAGCATTCTTGTGTGCCTTCTCTCATTTGGTCCTTCGGACTGTTGAGAAAAGAGGGAATGTATTATAATTCCAAAGTGACAGGTGAGGAAGCTAAAGTCACATTTGGAACTAAATACAGGGCTGGGCCTGGGAGCCAAGTCTCCTAATTCTGGGGACAGTGTTCTTGTCACCCTTACACCTGTCACTACTCCCTCAGCTATTGTCCTGCCAGCACAGTCTCTTGAACCCACCCCACCCCATCCCAATCTTGCTACCGAGCCCTGAGGGAGCATCCCAAAGTAATGGGGACATAGAAGCTTTCTCCACGCCACGTTGCTGTGGCCAGGCTGTACAACTAGGCTCTGGCCTTGATCTCTTGATGAATGCCAAGGATTCTAGAGCCTCACTCATGACCCGATGGACTGTGTGGGTGAAGGCACCTGACACCAAGTGTTTCCACTCACTGCCTGGGGACATCTGCTGTTAGGCTGCCCTCACCACCCAGGCCACCACCGCCTGGAATATCAGCTCCGGCCAGAACAAAATTCCCATTCACCAACCCTCCGGACACCCTTAATTGGATTGTTGGCCAAGTGTTTCCTACCACCACAAACCCATGACCGCATTAGTTCTTGGGTTGTGAAGTTTTATGTGTCAGCTTGCCTTGGCTGTGATGCCTAGATTTCTGTGAAGGTATTTTGTAGAGGTGATTAACCGCTATCATCAGTAGAGGAGATTACCCTTGCTAAGGTGGGTGGGCCTCATCCAATCAGTTGAAGGCCTTAAGCGCAAAAACAGGTTCCCTGAAGCGGAAGGAATTCTGCCTCAAGACTGTCGCTTAGAAATCCTGCCTGAATTTCCAGCCTGCCTTATATATTTGGGCTTAACTGCTCCCACAATGGCATGAACCAATTCCTTAAAGTAAATCTCTTTACACACACACACACACACACACACACACACACACATCCTGTTGGTTCTGTCTCTCTGGAGAACCCTAACTGATACGGTTCCCCTTTCTGTTCAGGACCCCTCCCCTCTTCCAGCCTAGTACGCCACATGGCTGCTTAGATCTGATTTATAACGGGGGGCCGAGCTGGGTAAAAACTGAGTACTGGCGTGAACAGCTTACCCTAAGCAGAACTGACAGTTTATGCATTCATTCAACAAATATTTATTGAATGCATTCTGTGTGTGAGGCAGTTTGCTTAGAAAGTACCAAAAAGTCAGCTGGGGAGAGAACAATCCTGAATCAATGAAACCAGGGGAGACCTGGTGAGAACAAATTGGAGGTGAACTTGGCCTCATCTGAAACATCTGTACCCTGAACTGGCAGAAACAGCAGATGCCGAAGGATAGCCCAGCCGAGTTCACCACAAAAGCCTAGATCTAAAATTACACAGAGAAGCTATCTTTCATAAAATTGTGTTAAGTTAACAAAATTAAAGTTGAATACTGAGTATTTATTATTTTGTGAATTTTCTCTAATCGATAGTTACCTGTGAACAACTATATGGTAATTTAATTTCACTTATAATCTATTCATGACCTAGAATCTCTATCTTTATTCTATGTCTGAGGTCACCTGAGTCATGAGTGATTATTACCAAAAAGTGAGCATCTGGTGATAGTCGAACCTGTGTGCAAAGGTTAAAATAATTAACCCAGAGTATAAATGCCTATTTAGAATATATCACAGAACCCTCCAAAATAATAAGGATGGCAGGAATGTCTGTGAAGTTGAAAGGCAATCAGAAATAATTTGGGAATTTCCGACAATCTGAGATTACCTAGGGTTTTTCTTGAACATGGAATCACCAAGAGGTAATTATGTGGTCCTCTCCTTCTTCTCACTGTTGGGGTGTAACGTCTGTTTCTGCCCAGGCATCTCTAGGACCAAAATCAGAAGAATGTTTCGCTCTCTGGACCACCTACTCCCTGCCGCTCAGAGGCCAGCTGAGCATTCTGGCTTTGGCATTTGTTGTTGTCGATCCCTCCCCCTCTTTTGAACACTCTCTCCATTCCTGGGATCCAGGTCACATTTTCTTCCTGCTGTTCTGATCGTTGCCTCTCCTGCATTTCTGTGGACCCCTCTTTCTCTGTCTGTCTACCCCATGAATGTCCCTGACCCATATTCCTTCTCACTCTGACAACTCTCTGCTTGGGTAACCTCACCCACTACCAAATCTGTAAATCTGGCCCTGACCGCCCCCCTGAATTCTAGAAGCGTATTTTGAACACATGACTAGACATCACCTAGATGTCTCACGGGCCCCTGGATGTCTCACGGGCACCTCAAAAACAGTGTCAGAAGCTGTATTCAGTCTAGTTCTGCCTGCTTCTCCTCTGTCCCATCTCAGATCATCGCATCTCCGCCCAGTGAGCTGAGCTGCCCTTCACTTCTCTTACCCCTCCACCTTCACTTGGTCAGCTCACCTCCTAAAGAGTTCTCAAGTATGCTGTCCATCCCCCAATGACTCCACCTGGTTCAGGCTCTCTCTGTCTCTAACCTGCTGCTGCCATTATGGTGGCTTGTGTTCTCCTTGAGGGTAGAGTGTTTCTTATGCAGTACAGTATCTTCATCAAAGGAGCCCAGAGGTGCCTGGGTGGCTCAGTCAGTTAAGTGTCTGACTTTGGCTCAGGTCATGATCTCGCGGTCCGTGAGTTCGAGCCCCACGTTGGACTCTGTGCTGACAGCTTAGAGCCTGGAGTCTGCTTCAGATTCTGGGTCTCCCTCTCTCTCTGCCTCTTCCCCACTCATGCTCTGTCTCTGTCTCTGTCTCTCTCTGTCAAAAATAAATAAACATTAAAAAAAATTTTTTTAAAGGGGGGTCAAGGGCATTGCCAGCACAGTGGA